TTCTGACATCAGATTCGTAATCAGCGACCCCAAAAACCCCCGAGTAACAAGTTTCAAGCATCTCCAGGCACTTTTTAAAAAATTGTCAACCATATTGGATACGCCATATTGAATTTTGAAATTCTGACTTCAGATTCGTAATCAGCGACCCCAAAAACCCCCGAGTAACAAGTTTCAAGCGAATTAAATTAATTTTTGAAAATTCGCCTGCCATATTTCAGCCGCCATTTTGAAATTTCAAAAAGTGCCATTCGGCATTTAAAAGTATTCCTTTTTAGCTAAATTTTAAGCCTATGCCCGATAATTTAAACATAAACCATTTTTGGAGAGCAGGGGGGTCCCGTTGACGAAGAATGCCTCATATATATATATATATATATATGTGCATACCTGTATTAGAGTCCCTGAAAATTTTAATAAAAAAATTTAAAAATTATTACTTAAGTTCTCAGAGTTAATCCTTATCAACAAAGGTTCTATTATCTAAGGGTATTGTTCCATGTAATAAATGGGAGAAAAGAAATTATTACTTGGGTCCTCAGAGTTAATTCTCATTGATTATTTAACAAAGGTTCTATTGTCCAAGGGTTGCTTTTTTGTGGTAATTAATCCGGGGTTTTAATAGAAGTGTATATATATGTATATATGGTATCTGTAATGAACTACTGATTAATCATATAAGAGTGTCCTTTTGCACTTATTGGCTGATCAGTAGTTACTCATTCATAGTTCTCTCATTCTATTGGATATTGGTAGTTGTATTGGATAAAAGGCAAAATTTGTTATATTGAATTAAAGACAAAATTGGTTATATTTAATAAATGGCAAAATTTGTTATATTGGAGAGAGTGAGCGAGAGGATTAAAGATATTTAGATTTTCATGAATCAAAAATAAAATTAAACGAAGTATACTATGGCCAACATAAAAGAGTATGTTATTTTGAGTGATGAAGATTTAAAAATTGTTAAAAATAGAAATAAATTGTTAAATGACATGCATATGTACAAATTTGAAGATTTATTAAGAAAAGATTCCAATTCTTTTTTCAATATGCAAAGTACTTATACTTTGATAGCCTTAATGAGGGGTGTTTAAATGTGCATCAAATGAAATATTTAATTAGATTGTTCCCTTTTAAACCAACAGTAGTTTTTGTAGTTGTTGATCAACAACCTTTTGGTAGTGTTGAGTGTGGAGTATATGCAATAGCATTTGCAACATCTATATTTTTTAACGTAATGTCAAACAGCGTAAATTATGAAACTGATAATAACAGAATGAGAAACCATTTAAAGTCAATGTTTGAAAATAATCGCTTAAATCATTTTCCGTCAATAAGAACGTCTCACAATAGGAATTCGATAATAGAGAATGATTGGAACCGTCTTTTCATAAATCGAGCTCAGGAACTTAAAAATAATATTTTGAACCCTTGTTCTGTTTTAATACTTTTCCCAGCAATAATATTAACAGAGTTCTATTAACACAATATTTAGAAATTAAACATTCTCTAAATGACACTAGTGAAGAGAAAATAATTCGTACAACTAATAATAATATGAACAAAATTTCACCACTTGAATATTCAGAAATGAAGTATTTTCTGAGTGAAGAAATTGATAAAAAGATAATTCTAGGAATTAAAGAAAAGGGAAGGCAACGCGCGAAGTTACATATGAACAGAAAATAATTAGACAAGAGAATGGTAGATTGAGAAAACGTAATCGTAATGAAACAGAAACAGAAATACAAAAGAAAGAACGCAAAAAAAATTTGACTTGCAAAAAAAGAAATTATCTATAGAAACTAAAGATGAAAAGAAAATACACAAGGATAAAAATTTGGCATGTAGGGAAAAAAAAATATAAATGGAAACTCAAGATGAAAAGAAAGTGCGTCAAGAAAATAATTTGTCATGTAAGAAGAACAAATTTTCTACGGAAACGGAAGATGAAAAGAAAGTGCGTCAAGAAAAGAATTTGGCATGTGAAAACGATAACCGAAATAAAAAAGTGTAAGAGATGCAATAATGTCTTAAACTTTTCAATAAAAGTAAGGTTCCACAGAATTATTTAGGTTTGATGAATGTAGAATGTAAGTTTTGTTATGTGTTACATTTTCTGTGTGAGAGACCGTCACATAGATTATTTAGTAGTTGCTGTCATAAGGGAAAAGTAAAGTTAAGCGCCCAAGTAGCACGGAATATTGGTTGATTGTAACATTGATATCAAGTGGGAATATTCCCGTGACATTCAGGCGATATCATAATGTCTTTACGGGGACATTCCTCGGTGATATTCACGTGTGATTCGTATGATATTGAGGGAATATTCCCGTGAAATTTGTGTGATATTGAGTGAATTATTCCTCTGATATTGAGGGAATATTCCAGTGATATTAATAAGATAATTTATAAAATTCTAACAAAATTTCAATTTTTTTTTATTGATTTATTTGTTTAATTAAATATTCAAAATAAACAACATTTTAGAATTTTCTAAATTACAGGAATATTGTCTCAATATCACAGGGATATTCCCTTAATATCCCAGGAATATTTTCTTAATATTGCGTGAATTTCACGGGAATATTCCCTCAGTACCATACAAATATCACGCGAATTTCACAAGAATATCACCGTAGAATGTCCCCATGAAGCGGACATTATGATATCGCCTGAATGTCACAACAATATTCCCGCTTGATATCACCTTGACATTCAAGCAATATTCCGTGCTCCTTGGGTGGTAGATTTAATATGAAGAAATTTTTTGTAAATTTCTAATCTTAAATTTTTTGAAAAAAAAGAAGTGAATAAAGATATGGTTAATGCACACGAGCAACGTAGTCGGCCGCTTGCGGACGACAAAGTTGCTAGTTAGGTAATAATTTAATTCAGTACACTATTGTTTCACTTCCATTTTTACACACACTGAAAAAGTTCAGATTTACAGTAAAAATATTTGTTTATTCAACTTTTTTAAAAATGTCTTTAATTAGTCAATAAGTAAATATTAACTTATATTCTTTTAAAATCTTAAAATTTATATTCATTTTCTTTCGCTTCTTATAATATTTTTAAAAAAATTGAAATGATTAGGAATTATTAATATACTCGCCAGTTTTTTCATTCCTTTCAATACACTTTTAGAAATCTGACGCAGTCGATTGCAAGAAATAGAAATATTTAATTCATATTACAAAATTCCCATTCCTCTGAATACGGTCCTAAAAACTTGACTCAGGCGATTGCGAGGCATAGAAATACTGAATTTATACCCTAAATTTCCCATTCCTCTGAATATGCTCTTAAAAACCTGACGCAGTCAATTGCAAGGCATAAAGATACCTCATTTAATCTACAAATTTTCTATTCCTCTAAATACGCTCCTGATGTCATGACACAGTCAATTAAAAGGAATAGAGATATCCACTTCACTCTCCAAATTTCTTATTCCTTTCAATGCGCTTCAGAAATTTTGATACTGTCGATTGAAAGGAATAGATATTTAAAATTTACTCTCCAAACATTTAATTTTTCTCTATTCGCTACGAAAAATTTGAAAATATGAAACTTTGCGCATTAAGAAGAATAAGAAGTTTGAATTCTTTTCTATTGACTTACCTCTACTGGGAATAGAGAAGAATTCATTTTTCTGATATTTTGATGTTCAGTGAGGAATTGGGTTAAAACGTAAAATCGCCTATTCAGAAAAATTAAAAATTCTCAACTTCTGCTCTATGTCTGCAAACTTTCAATTTTTCTCTATTCCTCGCTTCTTACCGGGTATGCACAAAAAATTCAGTTCCAACCCAACTCTGCTTTCGTGCAACAATACAGACGTTGAGTTGTAATTCCCCAGTTCTGATTATTTACGCACTGTCGTCAGCTGTCAGTTGTATTAGTCAAAGATATTTTTATTAATAGACATTAATTATAGGAAAAATATTTCCATGTGCAATTAGTTATTTATATAAAATTTGTGGATTTAATAATTTAAGTGTAAAATTACTAATATTTTTAATAAAATTAGGCAATTTACTCAAATATGACATCCATTTTTCTAGGAATATTTTAGTCACATTTTTATTTATCACAAATTTATCCATTACCCTGTATCCTAATGACTTTTATCCTCTATATTTACAACTTTTTACGCACCTTTTTTTCCGTGGCTAATCTTTATAAAACCTAATTCTCATTTGGCCTAATTTTACATTATCCTATTTGTTACTTGTTCTAATATTATAATCTAACATAATTCTAAAATGGCTTAATCTTAATGTAACCTAATTCTCTTTTGGCATAATCCTCATTTTGATCTAATTCTCACTTGGTATAAACTTCATTTGTCACCCGCTTATAAACGTGACTCATAATTATGGGAAATTGTGTTTAGGCCAAATAATAATTAGATCAAATAAAAATGAGGCTTAAAAAGTATTAGATTACAGAAAATTTACGCCAAGTGAGATTTAGAGTAGATAAATATTATGTTAAATAAGAATTGGGTTAAATTAAGATTATGCCAAATGAGAATTAGAACAAGTGAGGATTAGATTGAATGAAGGTTAGAAGTATTAGAATAAATAATAGTTAGGTTATATAGAAATTAGGCGAAGTAATAATTAGTCCATAGGACATTTAGGCCAATTGAATTTAGGTAACTTAAGCTTTAGGCCATTTGAAATTTAGAGAAAATTCCTGCGCTTCTTATTTTTATTTTAATAAAAAATTAAATTGTAAAATTTCTAGTTTATTATTATGTATTTACTTATAGAAAATAAAAATACATTTTAAAACAACAACATCAACTATAGTGTCTAGAAGATAATTATAAAGAATTGAAATTTCTTTTTATATTTAAATTTTTTTAATATATATGATTTGAATAATATTTTATTTATAGTTTTGTGTGTACAATTTGTTTATGATAATTTTTTTTAAGAAATCATCTACTGAGAAACTGATAATATTTGAAAAACTTTTAATTTCTTACACGTCTATTATAATAGCCTTTAAAATTTTTTAATATTATTAAAATAAATAATTCTTTCGTTCACTCCATCTTATCTACTATAAATAAAATTCAACAGTTAAATTAAAAATGAAGGTAACTTTTATTATAGTTATCATATTAAGGTATTTTTACACTCTAACAAATTAATATCAAGGGAAAAAATTTCATTTAAACAAATATTGAATAGAAAAATTTCAATATTAGCGCAGGACTTCAGTTTAGGAATTTACAATAAAATGAGATACATAATTTCACTGAAAAAAAACAATGATCAAAATTTATTTAGATATCATTAACGTAGAATTTAACATTTCATGATAGTAAAGTATTTAACCTAACTGCTAATTTAGCAATAAGTTTCTCTTGACTCAAATTGATTTCCCTAAACTTATAAGTGAAAAATAACTTTTCGTTAATTATTTCCTTATGCAGGCGCATATTCATAAATTCTACTTCTTGAGGAATAATATAAAAATCTTTTTCAAATGGAAAAACACGACCAATATTTGCTATTCCAGCCTCGTTAAACATTTCAAATTCATACAATATTATTTTCTGCCCTGCTTTAACGAGTGGAAAATTTTTAATTACTTTTTCCCGATTTGAATAACAGGCAATCATTGTTTCAAAAACTGGCATATAACTATTTGATTTATGTACAACAAAAAAAGCATAAAGAGTAATTGGTTTCTTTAATAGCATTTCATTCATAGACTGTCTTAAAGCAAGTCGATATAATGAAATTGTTAATTGTTTTTGATTATTTACATCTATTGATAAAGTTTTAGAAACATATGAATATATAACATAGTAATCTTCAAATCGAATTTGTTTTTTTATTAATGATACACTCTGATACATTTTAAATACAGATTCAACATTCTGTAAATAAACTCCACTCAATAATTGATTAATTATTTGTTTTGCCGATTCCAATGAATTAATTTTATGTAATTTATCATAAAACAATACATCATCAATAAAAGGACCATTAAATATTTCAAACTCTTTATAGTTCTTTGGAATCTTAAAATTTACAGAATAAACTTCTGCCAATTTATCATAAGTAGGAACAATACTTGTATATTGATCAGTATTTAAAATATATTTTTTAAAAATTATTTTCATATCTCTAAATCTTTGTACAGGAAAATTAGATGATATTGATAAAGCAGCATTCTCAATACATTTCATTATTTTAGTTGTTTCTATTTCTTCAATATCAAGTAAAATTAAATCTCTTTTTCTAATTACCATCCAAACAGAAATTGGCATTGATTTTTGATTTAAATCTAATACTAAAAGACGATTTTCATTTAAAAATTTTACACTATGTACATTGAATGAAATTTCTGGAAATACAATGTAATCGTTTTTAAAACTATCATGAAATTCAGCAAGATTGATAAATCCATTTTTAGAATGAAAATTTACACGATAGAGAACTTCTGTTTCGGTATTAGTTAATGATAATTTTTTATTGATAATATTATTTGGTTCAATATCGTTTAATAGTGTAATGTCATTAAAATAAAAATTGGATCCTTCTAATTTACTTAAATAATTATCAATAATTATGGAATTAGTTACTGTTTGATGAAAATAAAGTTTTTTCACTTCATTTAAAATTGTATCAATATTTTGAAATTGAGATAAATAATTGAGAAGTAATCGAACTGATTGCATGGTAAATTTATCTTCCTTTATAAGTTGTAATCCTTGCTTTTTAAATTTCTTTAATGATTCAACGTATAAATTGTAGCTTTCTTCACCTAATTCGTCAATGTAATGATTCAAGGGAATTTGAGGCAAAATTTCTTTTGTAAGAGGTTGTACTGAATTCATTAAAATTCCAGTACGATGTGCAGGAAAATTTTCTTTTAAATTAATTTCTCCAAATGGAGGATTTTTCATTGTTTCAAGTGAACTATCAGAATTAATATTTTTAACTAAAGACAAATCTGGATTTAAATGTTCATCTGCATTAGGCTTTTTCTTCTTTATTGGCGTCTTATTAACTGATTGTTCATTTTTTATCGTATTTCCTCCTCTAACAATTGGTTGTCCATTTTTCATCGAATTTTCAAAATTTAATCCCTTCGAAGTTGACGGAATATCATCAGTTGGTAAACCTCCTCTAACAATTGGTTGTCCATTTTTCATCGAATTTTCAAAATTTAATCCCTTTGAAGTTGACGGAATATCATCAGTTGGTAAACCTCCTCTAACAATTGGTTGTCCATTTTTCATCGAATTTTCAAAATTTAATCCCTTTGAAGTTGACGGAATTCTATAAGTTGGCAATTTTCCTTCAACAATTGGTTTTAGATTAGCGTAAAATTTAGTATCACTTGAAAATAATGTATTTAAATTATTTACTAATTTAATCATTCTTTTTTCTTTTGGAATTTCAAAATCGTTATATATTACTCTCAAAATATTTTCTTTTTCATACTCCACTTTTCCAAGAATATTAAAATTTATTGTATCAGTAAGATAATACAGTTTCTTGGGAACATTGAAATAATTAGGATCAATGTACGCTATTCCAAATGAATTTTTAAAATTTAATTCCAACAATAGTATTTTATCAACATAGTTAGTTCTGTGAGTATTTTTTAAAGCATCTTTTACATTAGAATAAAATGGAATATTTTCAAGACTTTGACTAATATCACCATCATATTTCTTAGCAAAATAAAGGGTACTTGGAAATTGAATAAATTTATCATCACACTGTCTAAGAGCCAATCTGTTTAATGCAGCATTAAGTCTTGTATTTGCATGTAGACTTGTTGGTAAAGTTCCCTTTAAATGTGAATACCATACATAATAATCCTCAAAAAGCATACTATGCTCATTTGAATGTGAATTAAAAATTTCAAACACAGATTCAACATTCTGTTCATATGTCTTATCAAAAATATTGGCTATTGTTTTTTTCGCATCTTCCAAATTTTTTACCTGATATAAAGACTTTTCAAATAGTACATCGTCAATAAAAATATGATTTGTTATTTTCCATTCGTTAAATATTTCAGAAGGTGTAATACGTGTATTTATTTCCTTTGCCAACATTTCATAAGTAGGAACACGAGTTTCAATTGGATCGATTCTTAAAATGTAACCTTTTAACATTTCTTCCATTTCAGTTAATCTATGCAGAGGAGTATTTAATGAGATAAGATTAGCTGCATTTTCAATATTTACACTTCTTTCATATGTAGTTATTTCTTTATTTTGAAGTAAAATATCATAGTTCTTTCTATTTTGCAACCAATCGGATTTTCATATTTTAAATCATTTATAGATAATAAAATTTCCCCATACTCAATATCACCAAATATAATTCTAGCCCAAAATTCACCACCCAATTCACCACTATAAAAATGATCAAAATCTGACAATCTTTCTTCTGAAGTTCCTGAGTTAGCAGAATTCATTAGTTTATTATCCCCATTATTCGTATTATAATGAACCAATTCTTCAGATCCCTTTGAATTATCAAAATTATTATTACTTGGCACTCTTTCTTGTAACGTACCTGATGTCTTCATTGGTATCTTATTCAATTCAATTGTATTATGATAAACTTGATAATCTTTTATTATTTTCGTATCTTCATGTAGATTAAAATAAGGCAAAAGTCTTTGAATAATTTCCTTTTTTCCCATTTTAGAAATATCAACATTTGGCAAACTTTCTGTTGAATACAATTCTTTTTTAACAATATGTTGTTTAGTTGCCCTCGAATTTCCCAAATTTAATCCATTTGAAGTAGACGGAATATTATCAGTTGGCAATTCTCCTTTAGCAATATGTTGTCCAGTTGCCCTCGAAATTTCCAAATTTAATCCATTTGATGTTGAAGGAATATTATCAGTTGGCAAACTTCCTTTTATAGCAGGTTGTTCGGATTCCGGTAGTGTGGGTATTATTTTCCTATCTGCATTTGAATTAAGATAAGGCATGTTACTTCGGAGTAGATCATTTTCTCCCATTTCAAATTTCAAATTAGTTATCTTTTATTGGCAACACGGGAACTGGTAATAGATTGCCTTCAATGGTTCTTAGTTCTGCAGTATTTTCAAAAGATGATATGAATTTTGGTCCAAAAAAGTGTTCACCGCCGGGATAATAATGTAAAAAGAGTTTATAATTCTTCTCTTCATGTAGAACCTTTGGCATCAGACCATTAGTTGTGATTGGTAGTTCTATATTAGTATTCAGCTTTTTTAACATAGTTGTTAATAACAATTTTAGATTTTTATTCATTGAAATCTTTGGAATTTTTTGAATCATAGTATTATACATCTTGTGGAATAGTTTGGAGCCCAATTTGCTTAACTTGAAAACTAATTCAAATCCAGGATCTATCAATTGTATTAAGGCAATAGATACATCTTTTAACAGTTGCTTGGTAAGAATTTCCTGCGAAACGGTTCTAGCCAGCGCTTTTGAAATTTGATAGAATGTAGTTAATTTAGTGGCACTTGCTATTCTTGATAAACTACTTTTAATTACATATTTTTCGCTTAATCCAATTACTAAGTTATTTTAGTTGCGTATTTTCCAAAAAAACTTTGTAAAGAAATCAATGAAACAATATCTGAAGTACAGCCTAATGCGGCTCCAACTTTGTCATTCTCTTGTATGCTTTCAATACAACTATAAAAAGGTATAAATGCTTTTAAAAAATTAAAAACCTTCTCTTTTGTAGTTTCATTTCTATATTGATGTATTAGGTTTTTTAAAAAGTTTGCTTTTCTTACGTTGGCAAACCTTTCAATAAATACTTCGCTATCTTCATGAGCGGATTTAAGTTTATTTTGAACTATATTTAATTCCATTTGTGCATTTGGATCATTTGCAACTAATTTACCAAATTCTTGTTCGTTATTACTTCTTACGAGTAATGTCGGTAATGTATCGTTATATATAAATGCGTAAAAATTTGTTTTTTCTCTTCTTTTAATTGCAAATATTAGGGTTACGTTGGGGTTTATCTTTATTGCCATAGGTGGTATGTTCGTCATGTACATTGGATAATCTGGAACTCGTGCTAGACTAACAGTACTTCTTGTGTTTAATATTTCTATCAAATGATTATCGTCTAAAACTTTTCTTATCAAAATCTTTTCAATTTCATAATATGTGTTTCCTACATTTTCAAACTGTTTCCTATAGACATCTTCCAAATTGGGAAGATAGTCTAGAAAACAACCAGTGGGAAGAGTCCATCTTACAATGTAATGATTGTATGACATATAATTATTCACAGATTGAGGTAAATTATTTTTATAATGAGAATAGTTACAATGTTTTTCAAGTATGTTTGTGGCAATAAATGGACGATATTTTAAATCTTTCATTTCATTGCGAAATCTGTAAAAAAGATTGTTATTTAAGGTTCGATTTATACTTTCATTTATTGTTATATTAATATGTGAAAACAAAATATCATAAGCTTCATTTCGAACTTCTGCATTTAATAAAGTTTGATTTTTTTTTCTAAATGCTTCTTTTTCCTTAGTGGCGTAAAAAAATAATGCCGGTGTTGAAAAAAGATTAAACAACATTTCATAAGATTCGTTACCATAAGACGCCTGAAAATCAATCTCTCGTGATATTGAAATATAATTATCAAACGAAACGTTTATTTTTTCTCCAAGTATAGATCTGACAATTTTTAAACCAGCCGTTGCGTATAGATAATCTACACTCATTATGTTCATATCTTGATTTTCTGGCTCGGGAAATATTGGAAGAATATATTCAAAAAAAATTTTTTTAGCTGACAAAATATTAAGTTTCGAGCTTTTATTTGTTTTTGAAAAATAATCTATACTTGTGTAATTGTTAAAGAGTTCCCGCTCTATTGTTTTCATAAGCGCGGAATAAGATGTATTATTTGCCTTGTTGATTACTCCTGCTAAATATGCGTCAATATTGCCATAGTGTGAAAATAGAGCAGTGCTGATGATGTACTGATATGTTTCATCTACGTATTTTGTATCGAGTGTTTCATTTTCGCTACCACCGTAGAGATCGGTTCCTTTTAATATTGTTTGTAAAAGCTGGAGTTTTGTTTCGGTTTCATTGTTGGAATTATTGAGGTATTTAAAATATGTATTTAGTACAGGAACAGACTGATTTCGCTGATTTAATGTAATGAGGCTTTCGTTGTAAAAGATTATTCCGAGAGTTGTAATATAGTGACAAACAGATAGATATTGTATGTTTGGTGGAAGTTGTACGAAAACTGATGTGTCGTTCATCATGAGTTGATTCGCTTTTTGCTGTGTTGATTTTTTAATGTTTTTACTGTTGTAAATTTTTAATATATTTTTTGCTGTTGTATCTCTTCACTTTTGTAAAGTTTTAATTTTTCCTGAGGAAACCTGAAATAATTTGACATGTTAAATTAAGCGTTTTATTGCAACGATCGGAAGGAAGCGCTCCGTAGGAAATTTTATTTTTCAAAACAGACCCATTTGTAAGATGATATAAAAAATTATCAACACAGAAATCTACATTACCGACCATCGGTAAAACAGGAAACTGAATTTAAAAAATTAGCGACCCAGAAATCTACATCACCGACTGTCGGTAAAACATGGAAATGACGATACAAAAATTTACCGACACAGAAATCTACATTACCGACTAATGTTAAAACAGGTTTAGCAATGGGCTAAAGACTGAAATATTTAAAAAAAATTCCCATGATTCGTACGATTTTAGCAATGGTTTATAAGTACGAGTAATAAAAATGGAAGATGCAATTGCAAATGGGTGTCTAATTTGGCATGGAATTCATTAAAAATTATTGTTAAATAAAATCAATTAATTGAACTATTAGATTAAGTTAAATATACTTTTTCTCTCATTATAACGAATAAGATTGTAAAAAGAGCCTCGGCAAAAAGTGACCCTTTTTCGTACCTCGAATTTTGAAACTTTTTTTATGCCAAATGGTTACATATGATGACCCAATAATCCCTGCAAAATTTCAAGATGAGCATGTGCCCCCTTTCCGAAATACAGGGGGTCAAAGGGGGCCATGTCCAAAATTAGAATATGCAATATAATCGAATAATAATGTTAAAAAAATCAGACCAAATGGTTCCCTTAAGATATTCGTCTGCTGATTACGAATCTAAAGTCCGTTTTTAAAAATTCAAAATGGCGGATCCAATATGGCGGACAACATTTTTTA